ATAGTACCTACCTTTGTATCTGCTAAGGCATTGATGACATTCCCAAGAGCTAAAAGTGATCTATTAATATTTGTCCCTTCTACAAACCGGGTCCCCTTAGCACTGGTACTACTGGCACGTTCAGACCCTGCCAGGTCAATGAGTGACATCTTGGCAATACGGACATTTTGATTAATGCTTGCTGTTTTGTCCTGTTGTCTCAAATAAATCTTTTTGAAATTACAGAATAGGAAAAAAAAAAAAGATAAGATTTAGCATAATTAAAAGGGAAACACACATCTTATTTTTGAGAGCAAAAAATCAAAATTATTTTCATTGTAAAAGCCAACTGAATAAGGTATAATATGACTGATACTTAAGAGTACTGGAAGTAATCACTAAAGTGGAGAAAAATATAAAAATAAAAAGACTTCCTATATGTGTACCAGAGAAAAAAATAACTCTTGACCTAATAGAAAGTGAAAATAACAGCCATTTGTATTCTGGTACTCCTTGACCTAGAACATGGAATTATCAGAGGTGATAATGGGGGGCACATGTCCTATAGAAACACTATTCCTAAGAGAAAACCAAAGGTAGTGGTCAGAATGCTTTGCATGTCTCCAGAAATTGTCCCCAAAGGAAGGCTGGATTTGAATCTTGACCCCCACTGAAGAGTAAATTTATTCTAATCCCCAAAACTGTTGTATGTCTTTATAATTAAAAAAATATTGTATATAAAAAGGGTAGTACTGGGATACATCACTTAACAACAAGACTATCTTCTGAAAAATGTGTCCTTAGGCGATTTTGTCATTGTGCAAACATCATAAATCTAGCACAGAAGAAAAGGATGCAGTCCCGGGATTCAGTAAACAGAATGGATTAGGCTGCTGCCAGTGTTATATGGCTTATCATTTTACTGTAAACTTTTTGTATAAGTAGAGGAGTACACTGTAAAGTAATGATAAAAGGTATAGTATATACATAACCTATAACATAGTTGTGTATTATCAACTATTATGTACTATACATAATTGTATGTGTTATACTTTCATATGATTGGCAGTACAGGTTTGTTTACACCAGCATCTCCACATGTCAGTAATGCAGTGCACCGTGACATTACAACTACGATGTCACTAGGCAATGGGAATGTTCGAGCTCCATTATAGTCCTACGAAACCACAGATGTATATAACTGAAATGTTGTTATGTGCCAGATGACTGTACAGTAAAGTATATTTGACATTTCCAACTGCCTAGTAAAGCATAATTTATTCAAATAATTTAAGCTACTTTGTAGCAGTTACATGGCAAACTTAAAAGAGATGAAAGTAAGCTATTACTCCATTATAAACCTTTTTATTCAATTTTCTTATAAAGCAGAGTCTAAGACATTTCAGGGAAATCTCAGTGTCACAGATAAACATTACACTCAATACAATTGATAAATGAAGAGTCAGTGGTAAGAATAGAAAAGATTAATGAAAGTTTTCTTAACTGGAGACTATCTGAATGGCTTGATTACCTCTGATATGAATTCTTTCAACTATAACAATTTCTTTCTTATATGATGAATTTCACATAGCATATATCAAATTAAGTTTATATTACCATTTGGATATTAACGAGACTAGAACTGTAAGAAATAATAGCTAATAGCCTATGCTTTAGCTCTTTCTGGAACTGTACTCCTAAAAATACTGTGTCAATTGTAACATACTTCCTTAAAGAATACAACTACTTATATGGTCCCTATGGAGAAATACTTTAAAAAGTAAATTGTATTTTCTCAAATTATTAGTTCTATAAATCTAGACCTATGGAGAGAAATCTTACTCAGAATATAAGATTAACTATTGGAAAAATTAAATATTTTCACCAAACAAAATAAAAAAACTTCTATCATTACCACTTTACCATCTTGGCAATTTGTATTTTTGATTTACAACATCTCTATTTTAAATATTCTTGGTGATAGAATCTTTTCAAAACTGCAAAGTAAAGGAAGTACTGAGAAGTCTATAGATGAAGAAATTTTTTTTTCATGGATGAAAATTATTTAGTCATAATTTGGCTTTGTTTATTTTAAATTTAATTTTAAGAGTGATAATCCAGTGGCCTGCTACCTGAAAAACAGCATGAGAACGAGAAGATGCAGCATTCATATCAGTGGGATGTTGTGTTCTGTTTTTGTTTCCATTATCCAATAACTGTAAAATTTCTTCTGAGGATTTGGGCTAGAGAAGTTTAAACAGAAGAAAAATATACAAATTAGCAATCTATCTTTAAATTTTTCAATAAAATTTCAACAAATGAGAAGACATTTTAAAGGTAAAAGAAAATGCATGAAAGTGTTTTGTATAAATTCAATCCTATTAAATATTGATTGTGCATATCATCTGCTTGGTACTATGGTGTTAGAGGAGAAATAAAGGATAAAATCTAGCCTTTAAAGAGAAAAAATATACATGTATTAAGCAGAATAACACATCACATTAAATACTGAAGAAGATTTTTGAAAGAAGAGTTCACTCAATTATTTCTAAAGAAAACAAAATAAGACTGAAGATATAATCTGACCATTTAAATTCTGCACTTCATTAGGATTTTTTCCCCCCTCAAACAGGGTGAAAAATAAGAAATTAGGTGTTTAAAATGGTTAAATAATCACACTTGCTATTCTAAGGAAAAAGACATCTATAAACATACCTGGTGTAAAGTCAGTCCCTGAACGACCACCCCTTTTTGGGCATCTTCCCGGACAGCAAGTGGCCCTGATTTTACTAAGAGGTCACGAATCTGTTCATTATATACCTTAAAATAAAAAATAAAACAAAACAAAACAAAACAAAACTGCTTTACTATCAATGTAAAAACTATAGTGCTTACATCACTACTGATTACACATTACTGATTACACTACTCATTACACATTGCTGATTTAAGGATACTAGAATTTTATCTTAAAGACACGCAGCAGTTCATTTTCATTCATCTCACCCTTTCTATCTCATGTTGCCATTAATTTTCTGCCATTCCACAATATATGAGTTTGATTACCTAGATTTGAAATTGAAACTTAAAGTTGGAGTCATTTTATCCTTACCCCATAATTTCTAACTTGATGACTACGGTGAAACAGATAAGTAAGATGGCTGAATTGCCTTTTCTTATTTCCTGGAAATATATGGAACACATGGCCTTGGGAAATTCTGGTGTAGTGAAATGCAGGGTTGTATGGAGATGACATGGTTCTTACTGGAGAAGATATTTATTATTTAATTATGTCCAAATAATCCAAACTTTTTAAATTTTAGAGAATAAATGTTGAGGAAAACCCATATTCAAGGATAGATGGTATTTGTTTCATTTATCTTTCAATTACATTGTTTGACATATAATTATTAATAATAAATTTCAAAAGCAGACTCCTCCTCATTTGAATGATGAGGTAATTAAGGCCTTAAGAGGTTAAATGATTTGTCTGTGCTCACAAAATAGTAGAATAGAAATTGGAGCCTTGGCAGCTTCAGTCTGCTGCATTATATTGAGTACACATTTGCAATTTTATATATCTGGTTTTTAAAAAGTAATTTCTATAAGTAACACATATTTCTATGTACTACTATTGCCCTGATTTTATGAATTTATTAAAGGTACAAAGTTTACTACTTGCCAATCGAATGACAATTACAACTATTACTGATAAGATTTAGGAAAAAACATGTAAGATTAAGTCTTTAAAAAATTATTTTGTATTATTTCCTTCCATGTTCTAATAGCCTGTAGTGATAATTCATTGTTGGGACAATTCTCTACAATAAATAACCATTTTATTAAAATGTAATAAACTCAAAGTAGTGAAATGATAATATGAAGAGTTTTTTTAGATTTTCTTTTCTTTTTTTTTTTCTTGAGACAGGGTCTTGCTCTGTTGCCGGGGCTAGAGTACAGCGGTGTCATCATAGCTCATTGCAACCTCCAACTCCTGGGCTCAAGTGATCCTCCCGCCTCAGCCTCCCAGTAGATCTTATTTTCTGATGAGTAGCAGTCACTTTTCTGTTGCTTACCCTTATCCACTTCAATTATACCAAAGAAACAATTAGAATGACTGCTCTCAAGCTGGTCTATGCATGAGACTCACCTGGGAACTTTAAAAATTACATATGCCTCGGCCATGCCCCACGCCTCTTAAATTAAAATATCCAAGGGATGAGGTCTAGGCGTGTCTAGTTTTAAAAAGTTCCATAGGCAATTCTGGTGCACAACCTCAGTGGAAAGCCATATTAGACACTGCCTTATCATTAATAACGTGAAAGAAGATTAAAAGAAAAAAATCAATAAAAATTATGAAAATAACCAAACTTTGAAATTCTCCCCAGTTATAAAAGGATCTAAGGAAAAAATAATGAATGCTGCCACCTTCTTTTCCTAACTGAGTTCAGAACAATTCTTTTCAATATGTAACTACAGAAAATGAGTTTTACTTCTCTTTTATCTCTAAGTCCTAATGAGGCAATTTTTAGCAACGTATATGATTTTAATCAATCTTTGAAAGAAACTCTCTCGGTAGGGACCAAACTACAAGATGTTTATAAGAGAGAAATTTTATGACACCAGAAATGAATAGGCAGTGAAATCAGGGTTTTAGGTTTCTGCACTGGTTTCTGAAACATTACCTGAATGCAAAGTTAGAGTGCCTGCCACTTACTGACCATTTGTGGAATGCTAGCTATTATTAACAGAGTAGGATGCCTCAAAGAATGATGGGGTAAGTCAAAAGGACTCCAGAGGCAGAATGAAGGTGCCAAATCTTGAGCAATTTAAACATACAAAAAATGATTACAGAAAGGGATTATAATCTATTCAATAAAGTAGAAATGTATGAGTCCATGCTGACATAATAAAGGAAAGGGAAAGTTCTTCCTTATAGCAGAAAGTCAGTGAATAAATGTAGGTGAAATGATAGAATCCAAAAATCATCATCATCTACCATCATAATGCCTGATTCGGGCATGAATCATTAGTGGATGCTAATACTAATTAGATGAGAGTTTGAGGAGTACATATTGTCTTCCCATAAGGTATTTACCAATTATAAAATGTGTAACAGGCCGGGCGCAGTGGCTCATGCCTGTAATCCTAGCTCTCTGGGAGGCCGAGGCGGGCTGATTGTTTGAGCTCAGGAGTTTGAAACCAGCCTGAGCAAGAGTGAGACCCTGTCTCTACTAAAAATAGAAAGAAATTAATTGGACAACTAAAAATATATAGAAAAAATTAGCTGGGCATAGTGGCGCATGTCTGTAGTCCCAGCTACTCAGGAGGCTGAGGCAGGAGGATCGCTTGAGCCCAGGAGTTTGAGGTTGCTGTGAGCTAGGATGACGCCACGGCACTCTAGCCCGGGCAACACAGTGAGACTCTGTCTCAAAACAAAAAAAAAAAAAAAAAAAAAAAAGTGGAGACTCGCAGACACCAGCATAATAAAACTGATCAATGTTTAACATTGCCAGTAGTGGGGCAAACCAACAGCGTAAGTTTCTTGACATGATGTTGTAAGAATTCAACATCACTTCTGTGGTGTCCCTGACAGGGCATAACCTGAATCTAATCATGACAAACTCAAACTGAGAATTTTTTGACAATGTCATGAGATACAAAGAAACACACAAAAAATTGCAGATTAAGAAGACTCAAGAGATACGACAACTGAGTGTAATTCATGATCTTAGATTTTCTTTTTCAACAAAGGGCATCAATGGAATAATTAGCAAAATTTCATTAAGGTCTGTAGATTAGATAATAATGTTGTATAATTGCTAATTTCCTCATTTTGATAACTATCCAGTGGTTATTTAGGAAAATTTCCTATTTTTACAAGTCTGCAACTTAGCTCTGAAAAAGGATGTACACACATACAGAGAAAGAAAGCAAATGTAGTAAAATGTTAAGATCTGAGGGAAGGGTATCTGGAAGTTTTTTGTACTATTTTTGTAATTTCTCTATAAGTTTGAAATTATGCCAAAATAAAAAACTTAACAGAAAAATTATAAGATGCGTAACAAATAGTCAAGACCAGAAATTTTAACAATTTTATATATTTGTGAGAAAATTCCTGTAAAATAAAATAATTTGAACAACCCATGTAACTTAAAGATTTCTCAAAACTACTGATTAATCTAAAGAATGCTATTGCCAACTTACCTCCAGATAAGAAACTGCCGTACTACATACTTTCTCTTCTTTAACCTCATCCATGCATTTGTAAAGGTCTAACATTGTTAGGTACATCACTCCAGGTTCAGTAGCTGATCCTAGCATTGTGTGGGTCTTCCCAGCTCCAGTGGCACCATAGGCGAGTACTGAGTTTTTAGGAAAAGGGATCAAAGTTCGTTGTTATGACGTATTACACTACTATATCCACTCTCTGGTGGATAGTTCCATCTAGATATCCTAAACAGTACCTTTAAACCCAACAAATCAAAAATAAATTCATAGTCTTATCTTCAAAATCTGGGAATTTTAGCACAAATCTACTCTTACTTCTATATTCTCTGTTCTGATTAATGGCACCATTGTCCTCCACCCCAACTCTAACACTTGCTACCTTTCTTCCACAGCAATCTTATAAATTTTAATTGATCAGTTATTAGTCTTCCTTCCTCTTAGTCTCAATCTTCTTTAATCTATCCCTTGGTTTGTACAGACTTATTTTTATGAAAAAGAATTATGAATATGTTAAATCTTAACTGTTCCACAATTTTACATGAGAAAGTTAAAATTTCCCACCTTGGAATATTATAAAGCACTCTAAGAGACAGTGCCTACTTAACTCTCCAGTCAATTTTTTCCTTGCTCTGATTTAGGTATACCTAGATATAGATTATTCGATATTCTCAGCATTCACTGTTCCTTTTCTACTCTACTGCCTTTGTCCCGGAGAGTCCCTCTACTTAACCCAGCAGGAAAACTTCTACCTGTTTCTAAATACTCAGCACAAATGTCACTTCTCTGTGCCTTCCCTGATGGTCCCAGGCAGAAACATCCAATCCGTCATTTCAGACCCAAGTACATGCTGCACATCCACTTCCCTCTATCCTAGCATGTATCATACTGTATTACCAACTGTGAGCTCCACCAAAGCAGAGGCCATGTATCCTTAGCAACCAGAAAATCATCTGGCACAAAGCAGGTACTCAATACAAATTTTCTGAATGAATGAATCCCAGCTAGATACCATTCATAAAATTCCTTTTAAAATTTTTGTTTTAGGCAAATTACTTTGTTTGCAAGATTCTATCCAGTACAATACAAAAGTCATGCGTTTATTCAAATGTATAAAAAACCCACTCTCTGAATTACATATGGCAAACACCCAATATAATATTCATTTAAGGCAATAAGCCCTAATACTTATACTGGTTGATAATATTTTTATAAATTAAATCTCCCTGCTAAGCTAGATGTTAACAAACTACAAAAATACTTTTCAGTAGAATGAATTTAACTGATGTATGTTTTTCTTTCTTCTATTTTATGTAAGCTGGTATATCAAGAAGCCATAAAACAGCTGGAAAAGAATATAAAGTAAAACCACAAAGGAACCAAAGATTCAATAGTAGTTTGGTGGATAGTCTTTTCTTTTTGTAGTCAAGAAAAATTTGAAAAATCTCTAGAAACAACGTGAAGTTTCATGAACAAGGAAAAGACTATCTGCTTAAAAATGGGAATCACAACAGTCCTAATCAATAAACCACATTCCATTTTAACTTGACCAAGAGGTTATGTATTCTGTGATAAAATTGAATGAGTCAGGGTAAGACAGTGAAACATGTTATAGTGGTGAAGTATCTTTGGGAAAATGTCATAGATACCGATAATTACAAAAATGTTAATAATGGTGCTCAGTGCCTTGTAAGCATTGAATGAACTGGCCATTTCGGGTATCTCTTTTTCTACGAAATCAACGTGGCCTTTTTGAAAGGCAAATTATTATAAACTCTCCAAAGCAGGAGAGATGCTTCTTGGACTGAAGATGGACTAAACAGGACAAGATAATGAATTAACATGGCATGTTAAAATTTTTATTTCAATGTATCATAAAGAAAAATGGTACTGCAAATAAATTGCCAAGTGTTCAGAAACGTCTGACTATTCCCTAGGGATATATAACTGTATATGTAAACAGTGGGAAAATTTATGAATATAAATTATGAGAAATCTAGTATCAATTGAAATAAGCATGTGGTATAATAAAATGGGAAATGGAAAGGATTGATTGTCCATAGAGGTCATAGTAAGACCCCAGAAGAGAAAGGTTCACAAATGACATGTAAGTTATATAAGATGACAAAATTTCTTTTTTTAAAAAAAATTTAAATTTCTTATTATTTTTTGTAGAGATGGGGGTCTCGCTATGGTACTCAGGGTGGTCTCGAACTCCTGGCCTAAAAGGATCCTCACACCTCGGCCTCCCAGAGTGCTAGCATTACATATAGGTATGAGCCACTGTACCCGGCCAAAATTCTTCAGAATTTTTAGCATACAATCACCTTAAATTTGTTTATACTTATAAGGAAGAGCCAAGTAGATGCCCCTCCTAATGTAAAATGGAAATCAGATGGAGAAATTAAATCCCAAATTGAAACAATTACCTGTGCAATTATATCCATTCAAAAAACTACGAAGAATTGGCTTAGTAGTGTGTTCAAAAACTTCCAACTGAGTTGAAGTTTCATCAAAAACAGCATCAAATACAAATTTCAGATCTTTATTTTGTCTCTTCATAATATTTCGATTTGCAATTTTCTTGCCACGGAAAAAACTGTCTTCTTCTTGTTTGGGATCAAAAACCAGGATATGGTTATCCACAACATTAACTACTTTATGGAATCCAGCAGCCTTTTCTTTTGTGTTTTCAGGACGTACACGAACAACTACTTTCATGTGGTGACACAGTTCTTCCTCAGCGACAGACATTGTTGATTATATGATTCCTGTGTGTGTGTATATATATATATATATATGTGCTTGAATATTTCCCTGAAATTAAAAGGGAAAATAAAGTTTTAATATTAGCTTTTGTGTGTATATAACTGGCATGTAGTATTCATTCAAAAATAGTGTTAATTCTGTTCTAATCACCTGATAAATGTTATTGGGGAAAAATATATGTATGTGTAATATATATGTGCACACACCCATATATATACATACACATAGCTATATATGCACTTAAATACCCTAAAACAAAAAAATTAAATGGCACACACAATCCATGATAAAAGTTTTATAATACCTGTAACATTAGCAAGACCCTGCATTTCAGCTTAAACACAAATACGATAGCTAAACCATATATAATCATAGCTATGCTACCCAAAAACCCAGCTTTGATTTTTACAAGAGCTCCAGCACTATTTTAGCCTGGGTCATAGGAATGGACAGGAAAGGATCTCTCAGAATCATATCAAGGTAATGATGGGAGAAGCCTTGACTTGTGAAGTATTTTTAGTAAAGTGATCTTGGCTGCAAGCCTTTGGCAATGGAAAGTGATACATCCAGGCTGGTCTACCTGTATCTCAGAGACCCATAGGGTTAAAAATAGTTCCATGGATGCATCAACGAGCTAGCTCAGATCTGAAGGTGACAGAGATGGCATGTACTCCTTAGTGTATACAAAGATCCTAGTCTCTGAATATAGATCCTAATTTCTGCTTTCTAATGATATTCAACATTTAAGTAATCCATGATAGGTTTAGAAATTACGGTCTGACTTTATGATGGCCTCATATGAAAACAGGAAAAGTAAACAAAATAACAAAGATAAATAATTGGCAAGTGTCAACTATTCAGAAAATAATCTAGAATCTAAAAGACAAAAAAACAAAACCAAAAACAAACGTAAAAAACACCTCGAAAACAAAAACAAAACAAACATTAGAGTAAGGACTTCAAGGAGGTGATGGAATTAGTATGATCCAGCAATCCCATTTCTGGGTATATATCTAAAGAAATTAAAATCAGTATGTTGAAGAGATGTCTGCAGTCTCAAGTTCACTGCAGCATTATTCTCACTAGCCAAGATATGGAAACAATTTGAGTGCCCATTAGCAGATTAATAGATTATATACATACAATGGAATACTATTCAGTTTCAAGTATGAAATTCTGCCATTTATGACGACATGGGTGAATCTAGAGGATATTATGCTAAGTGAAATAAGCCAGGCACAGAAAGATAAATATCACATGATCTCATTTATATGTGGAATCTAAAATTTGAACTCATAAAAGAAGAGAGCAGAATGGCGGTTACCAGAGGTTGGGGCAGGTACGGTAGGTGAAAAAGGGGACATGTTGGTCAAAGGGTACAAAGTTTTAGTTAGACAGGAGGAAGAGTTCTGGTGATTTATTGCACAACAAGGTAACTATAGTTAATAATAATCTATTGTATATTTCAAAATTGCTAAGAGTAGATTTTAAATGTTCTCACCACAAAGAAATGATAAATATGTGAGGTGATGGATATGTTAATTAGCCTTATTTGCTCATTTCACAATGGATACATGTATCGAAACATTACATTCTACCCCATAAATACATTTGTCATTTAAAAATTAAAAGAAGAAAAATCTATACCAAAACAGCATTTGAATAAGGACTTGAAGGAGGTGAGAGAGTTATTCAGGCAGATATTGGGGGAAGGACTTTCTGAGAGAGAGAAAAGCTGGTGGAAAGATCCTAGGGCAGTGCTTGGTGTGTTAGCTGGAATGGAATGAGCAAAGGGGAAAGTAGTAAGATATGAGATGAGAAATGTCGGCCATTAAAAGAACTTTTACTTGTACTCTGAGTAAGATAAAGAACACTGGAAGGTTTTGAGCACAAGAGTGACATAGCTGATCATTCTCACAGCTGTGTAGATAATATACTATAGGGAATAGAGACTAGCCCATTCCAGTAATACAGACAAGAGATGATGGTGTCTGCTCAGAATGGGGCAGTGACAACAGAGGTGGTGTGTGGTCAGATTCTGGACATATTCTGAAGGTGAAGCTTACTGAATTTCCTGACAAGTAGATGTGGATTATGACAGAAAGACAGGATTCAAGGATAACTCCAAGGTTTTTAGCTTGGAAGAATGGAGCAGTCATCAACTGACATGGAAATAACTGAGGGTGGAGCAGCCTGCGGGTTGGTGGGAGATCAGGAGTTCAGTTTTGGTCATCTTAAGTCTCAGAGTTTTAACAGACGTCCAGGTGGAAATGTCAAAACAGTTGGAAGACAAGGTTAAGAAAGTAAAGGTTGTCTTCAGAGTCTTAATGCAGTTTTAAGCTTTTAAAAGTTAAATCTGCATTAAGACTTTGGGGAAATCTTAAATCAAGGAGGAGACAGGGATCAATTACGTTAAAAATTCTGCTAATCGGTCAGGTACTTAATGAGAATTAACCATGGGATTTAGCAACATGGAAGCTAATGAGAAAAGTAATTTTTGGGGAATGGTAAGGCCAAAAACCCGAATGGGAGAAGATTCAGAGACATGGAATAAAGGAAGTACTACTGCAGGCCGGGCGCGGTGGCTCATGACTGTAATCCTAGCACTCTGGGAGGCCGAGGCGGGCGGATCGTTTGAGCTCAGGAGTTCGAGACCAGCCTGAGCAAGAACGAGACCCCGTCTCTACTAAAAATAGAAAGAAATTAATTGGACAACTAAAAATATATAGAAAAAATTAGCCGGGCATAGTGGCGCATGCCTGTAGTCCCAGCTACTCGGGACGCTGAGGCAGAAGGATTGCTTGAGCCCAGGAGTTTGAGGTTGTGTGAGCTAGGATGACGCCACGGCACTCTAGCCCGGGCAACACAGTGAGACTGTCTCAAAAAAAAAAAAAAGTACTACTCCAAAAGGGAGCAGAGAAATGGTCTAAGTGGAGGGGGAAAAGGGGTCAAAAGATGTATTTTTTTTAATGGGAGAAATAACAGCAATATTAAAGCTAAAATGTGTCACAAAACCATACACTTTTGGATAGAATTCAAACAAGGCCAAAGCAATCTAAAAGCAGCAGATACTGGACGCAGCTTTGCCTTTTTAGGACTCTGTCTTTACCCAAAAATAGAACTCTGAAAAGGAAGGGATGGTCATTTGGATTCCAAAAGTCTGGTCCCATGTGAATTACTACTCTTCTCATTCTTCATCCTTGAGCTTCTGTCTAGCCAAGTTTCACAAAGAGCCTTTACCATCTCACTTCCATGACCTTGGACAAGTTACTTAACTTCACTGAATCTGAGGTTTCTGTTTGTATAAAAGAGACAGTAAGACCTCATAGGATTGTTGTGAAGGCTTAAAGAAGTAACAAGTACTAAGTGTAGTATTAAGGTATTTGATAAATGTCAATTCTCTTTCCTATCTGCCCCCACTCCTGCCTCTTCTTCCAAAGTAACTAGTCCATCCTTGTGTGTTTCCCAATGGGCTTATTATGACTGGCACTTTGGGTAGGACAATTCTTCCTTGTTTAGAACTGCCCCATGTATTAGAGGATGTTCAGCATTTCTGTCCCCTGCCTATTAAAGGATAGCAGTATCCCACATTCCTTGTGATACCTAAAACTACCCTCCACACACTTTTCTAACATTCAACAATGCTTTGAAATATTCAACAATGCTCTGACTTTAAGAGATATACTTGTTAATATACTTGTCAAAAAAATGATAAATATACATGAATGAAATAGTTAAAAAATAAACATAAAATACCATGTCATTATTTCAAAATAGACTTTAGAATCTCAAGGTTGGAAGGTATCTCGCATCAATTAATCAATTAATTAAGTTAACTATTAGATGTTAAAGCCAGACAGCTTAGGTTAAAATCCCAGCTCTATTGCTTAACTGGCTGTGATAGTAGGCAAGTTATTTAACTTTCTTGTGGCTCAGTTTCCTCACCTGGAAAGTGAGACTAATAATAGTACCTACCTCATAGGGCTATAAGGATTAAGTAAGGATAAAACACTTACCACAAGGCTAGGCTCAGAGTATGAACTAAAGTGTTTGCTATTATTATTATTTACAGTGTAGTGAGGGAAACATATTAATAAAATATTGATACAAACATGTCAAGGTATAGCTGTGACAAGTGTTATAGGGAATAAGTTAACAGTGCTATATGAGACTGTAATGGGGGATTAACATAGTTAGAAGGCTTTCTAGAAGAAGTGACTAGAGCTGAGAATTGAAGAATAGACAGTTATTAACCAAGTAAAAGTATTAAGGAAGGATAGGAAGGAGAACTAGTTATGCATTTAGTAAATATTTACTGAGGGCCTTCTATGTGCTGGCATTTTTCTGAGCCCTGGGATAGAAAGGATCAGGAGTGTGTGTGGAGACTCCTATTTTAGATGGAGCAGAAAAACTTCTCTGGTGGGGTGACTTTTTAAAGAGACTAAAGTGAGGGAGCAAGCCTCTGGAGCATGAGCATTCCAGGTAGCAAGTCCAAAAGCCTGTGATGGGAAAGAGCTTGTGTGGAGTACACAGGCTAACTGGCTGCATGGTCAATTTGCTTAAATCTCTTGTTTCTTTTAACTGGTTAGTTTTAGATGAATGGATGTAATTTTATCTACGGCATCTAAAGAAATGTTCAAGGGAAGCTTTGCTCCCTTCTGCAGCAGCTGGAGAGAACAGAGGGGAAGGGAAGAGGTTGCACGAAAAGATAAAAACTAGATAAGAATGAGGCCAGGTATAGAAGATCTTTAATGCAAGACTGTAGAGTTTAGATTTATTTTGAGGTTATTTGAGAATTATTGAAGGCATTTTAGAAGGCAATAGACCTTATTCAAGTAACATTTCAGGGAGAAATTCTGACAATTACCTAAAGGAACTGAAGAAGTATAATGTCAAACATAACATTGTTTTACAACTTGTTACAGATTTTAACAAAGACATTGATCTTAATTTTTAAAGTAACCTGTATTTCTCTACTTTTCAAA